ACAAATTTCACACCTAAACTCTGGAACATCAAATTTTGTATGATTTTAACACCCTGCCACAACATACTGACATGTTAAATAATCACAGGTCGATGAGCGTACACACTCTTATGGCAACACACTTCCTCACAAACAACACAAGCGCAGGCATCGCATGTGCATTTGTGTAGTGAATGCGTCTGTTGTGTGGAGGTAGTGAGGTGCTGACAGAAAAGAAAGAGGAGCGGTCTTCACACACATCCACAGGCAGGTCGTGCACTCTATTATGCCCTGCCGGGGCCACATTTGTTGATTCTTGGGCCCCCAAATCATTAATTTAAGTGCAGTCAATGGCAACGAAACCCGAGAATGGTGTCCAACACACATTCTCAAGTTCACACACACAAATATGTCCATGCACAGATATATAGCTGGTGACATACACATGCAAGGAACGTTGCATGCACACATACTTTCTGTGGATTGCATAACAAATGATGGCACTTTAATTGCTATGGCTGTTTATTTACCTTTGCGTGCAGTGGATGATCCGTCTTTGCTTGGCAGCCAATGAGAGTGAGGCAAAAAGAGTGGGCAAATTGCTTACAATGTGAAAAGCCTTTTTATGTACAAAACATTATATCTAAGGTAACACAGGTCTCCAGATTTGGAAGTTTTTAACATAATTATTGTTTTATCTGTATATATTTATGGTCTCAACGTAAAGTTGTTGTTTTTTAGTTCTCCCACTGTGCCCTCTCTGAGTGACTGATGACATTTTCCTCAGTGATTGGTGGTTATTTTGGGTCCTGTTTGCTTAGCCAATGAGGCGCCCCCAGCAAACTAGGCATACATCATTGTTTCACAGCCCTGAGGAAAGAAATGACTGGTCACTGACTGCAGTGCGGTCTGAATAACAGACACATTCCAAAAAAGGTTTCTTTTTTGTTCTTATTGTTATTAATGAGAACTTGATGTTTGTGCTGCTGCCAAATGCATTTAGTGAATTCTTAAGGAGCTCTGGACTCTACAGAGCCAAATGGTCAAAATCTACAGCTGAGAAAAAACTAAATGTTCACACTGAACCAGTGCTGATCCACTTCAAGCTTGTGGTGAAGCCTTTCGAAAAATTACAGACCAAAAAAAATAAAATAATGAAAATCATGCTTTTTTTAAATAAACATGTGTTTTTTTTAAGAATTTGTTTCATTTCACTCTATACTAATTATTTCTTATTGTTTCATTCCACAGCTGCTTTTGGAACCACAAGGTTATGAAGTTTCAGCTCCCAGCACAAGATGTGTGTTTGTTGTCAAGACTTTCAGACATAAGTTGTCCACATACACATTATTTCATCAAACTTTGTTTAAGATTAGCATTTAGATGCTCTATATTACTGATAAATGGACAGATGCAGTGGCCCATTGAGGACCTTAGTTCATTGTGTGTAAAATGTCCCAACCACAGCAGTAGCCATGTGGATTCCCACAGTACTGACAAGCACTGCCGTCTCTTCATCCTCCTTTCTGTTTTCAATCGACTGGAAGCTGGATGTATTTTACAGGACCATGGTGCTACAGACTCCTGGCTTCACATCAACCAACCGTCACTGCCCCGCTGATGACTGCAAACATGGTGAATGCTAATCCAGTGGAACAAGCCCCAAATCCATACCTGGTGTGGTTTATGTTGGCACGAATGTGTTTACTTCTGTAGCTAAATTTCAGACTTTTGTAAATATGACAACATGGACCTCAAAATCAACAATGTACAGAAACCTTCTCAATGTACCGTGCCAAAGGAGTCGTCTCATTCTGTTGGGACAAATTCATGAGATGGAGCTGCGATTCATTAATTTCTGACCTAAGGTTACTTGGTAATGTAGCTCATTTAACTATTACTAGACTAACAACAATAAAAAATAAATAAAAAGGCTTTAAGATGCCTCACAAGCATGATGAAAATCAGCTTCCACTTTTTTTTTTTTGTTCTTTGAAAAGTCAACACCCAATTTAAAAGGAGGGGAACCTCCACAGAGCCAGTTTACTGTCTAAGCAAAGTGTTTTCTTTCAGCCTGCTGTGCATTGGTTTTAATAACCAAAGGTGGGTTCTGTTTGATTTTCTACAGCTGAAACTGAGTGCCACTCTTATTTTCTTTATTTTTTTATTTCATCACAGCTACTGTGTGTCTTATTATTCTGAAAAATGGCATGTTTTTTTTGTTGATCCTGTAAAATTGTGTGACTAACCTGACTATAATGAAGTGACTTATTACATTTATAAGGTCTAAATCATAAATTTCCTGTGTGTTAAAGGTTAATCTGATGTGACAATAATTGCAGTATTGTTGTGACTCAACATCTTCACCATCTGTCCGTTACAGAAAATGTACAGTTTATTTATTTTTGCACATTGTGTGCTATTCAGTTTTAATGGTGGTGAAAGTTTAGGGGTACGTGTACTCACCCTTGGCTTGTTCCACAGTGTTTTGCAAACAACAGTTTGTTGTTCTCGAGTGAATAAAATCTGTTTCACACAAGCTATAAGGTGTTTTTAATTTTTATTTTCCTTATCATAAAAATCAATGTTGCGAGCACCGACACTGGCAGCCTGGTTATTAAATTTGAAAGCAACATGTATTCTCACAAGATTAAAGTATCACAGCCACTAATGGCAGCTTCGACAATAGACTCCTGCGCTGCCCCAGAAAGAATTCTTCCCAGTTTTCATGGTCTACCAATTCTCTCTCATAAACTCAGCCAGATGTTGCCCCGTTTTCTTCCTGAGGCAACATGGGGGGATGGAAGGGAGGCATAGTGAGGCATGGTGGTGGAGGAAGGGAAAATGGGGGGCGTGGGGGGTTCCTGAAATGTGGCTGAGCATGTTTTAAGTGTTCTTTGATGCAATCACAGCCTCTGTAGCATCCACCACGGTAACATTAGCTGAGACCAGAACTTCGGCGTCTTCGAGTTTAGTTTCCCATTAAACTTACTCTGACTTTTGACTGAACACTTTGAGCCCTGTTGAAAATTTTTGTGGAAAATCTGATGGTTTTCCAGCTGGCAAAAGAAAACTGCACATAGGAGCAAACGTGGATAGCTGATTATATAGTTGTTGTTTTTTTCTTCTTCTAGTAAACAAATGTAACAAGTTCTTAAACTAAATGTTGGACACAAACTCGAGTATTATTCTGCACAACAATAGCCTAATAAAGTGTTTAAAAAAAATGTGCATTTTTGTTTTGCTCTAATTTAAATAGTCTTCTGCATGAGATTATAGTCAAAAATCCACACGGGGGATTCAGACCCATACGCTGATCATGGTGAAACAGAATGCAGTGGCTCCTGGCATTCAGCTTTTCAAATATTTATTCTCATGTCTCATTTAATTCAGCTCCGCTGAGCCTACACACATTGAGTCTGTGGCCATTTTTTTTGTCTTAAATTTGGAAGGAGTGATGTTGGTGAAGCTGGAAATAAAAAGTCCAAATGAGGGAGTGGTTAAACTGCAAAACTCATCTTCATAAGATCAATTTAACAAATCTTCTCATACTGGGATGTTCATTTTGGCAAACAGCTCTCCTCCCATTCATTTGAGCACGAATTATTCTGTCCCCCTTCACGTTTCTCATATGCATGGAGCTGTCGGGTCTCTGCAGCCGAGGCTTCTTGGTGAAACGACTTTGCCCTCTGACACTCTGCGTCGGGACTCTGTAACACATCGAACTGGAAGCCATCGGATTCCTGCGCATGTTATGAGATAGTGTGCCATAAAATAATAATTAGGCCCATCGTAATGCTCGCAGGCCTTTAGGTGATGAGAGCAGCTTGTGTAAGCACAATATGGACCTGCTTGTCTTGATTGTGCTCAGCGGTAACCTGAGCTGCTGCCGGTGAAAATCCCAACTCGGCTCTGGTATGGATAGGGTAATAGCCTCGGGCGCTTTATAAGTTTATTTAAGGTAATAGAGACGCTTGTTTTGTTACAGCCTGTCCTCTCTCTTTCTCCCTGCCTCTCCACAACTTCTACCTGTGCTTGAAATTCCTTCTTGGTTGTTGAAAGTTTTGAAGACCAAGAGGTTTGAGCGTAAATAAGGGGGACGCATGCGCTTTGGAGAGGGTTCTTGTTTGCTCCGCGCGCATCGGCCGCTGCTGATTTGGGGAGAGGAGATGATTGGAGCAGGTGAGGGAGGCAGGAGGGGAGGAAAACGAGAGGGAGGGATAGTTTTGTGCACTTGAACGCAGACGGAGGCACACATTCAGCGTGGGAGCCAGCAGAGCCGCTGTTCACGCCAGCACCGCGCGCGCACTCACCAAGCAGCACCGTTTGGACATATCCAAAGCTGTTTCCCCGTTTCTTTCTTTTGGAGCATACAGTTTGGAGCTGATTCATTCTCGATCGAGTTTATTTTTGCCTTTTTTGTAAAGTGGATGACTTTTGTGCGCGAAGACCTTAAACTTGAGGAACAGCTGAAGAGCGTGTTTGCGCACGATGGAAGGTAAATTCAGAAGCCGCTTGTGGCGAGGATCACCGCGTGGATCTCTCTGCAGGTAAAAGGCGCAATGACTTGAGCGGCTGGGTCTCAGGTCCATGACAGGAGTTTACGCGTCCCTTTGCTTGGATACAGTTTGCGCCTTAATCAGGAACTTGTGTTTTTAAGCAGCTGATAGGCTGGCCACTTCCAATTAGAAGTAAATTGATCAACTAGACGACACCCACTTCCCACTCCCTTGGGTTGCACCTAGATGGATTTTATTTGCCAATCACCTCGGCACTGAGAAGTTAGAGGAAGTGGCCGTGTCCTCACACTGTTGATTTTTTATATATATATATAATTTTTTTTTTATCTTCACCAAACTTCTAAGCTGCTCAGAGCGCACTCACAGACTCGCACTAAATCTGAGGGAATCTCACTTTACACTTTGTTCACCACCATCACGCACTTTCCAAGAACTCCGGACTCTAAAGAGAGCGTTTTTGCCTGAAGTCCAACGGGAAGGGGGGGACCTTTGAACCCACCTGGAGGCTGCTGGGATTATTGAGTTGAAATCTTCAGAGTGGATTACAGTTTATAACTCCTGGTGAGTAACTCCAGCTCTCTTGTTTGACGCATTTGTGAGGTGTGTTTCAGTGGGAATCAAATGGGATAAAAGTTCTTAACAAATGAAATGTTTGGAATATTCTTCCCCCACTCCATGCCCTCCCTTTATTAAACACACAAAAATGTACAAAACACGTTATTTTAATCTAAATATCTCCACTTCTATTGTTTCCTGAGCCTGATGTCCTTTGTGTTGCTGCTCCATCAAACCCTTGCACCTGGCTCCCTCTCCTGGTTTTCTGTAAACATCAGGACCGGAAGGAAAAGACACGGTTTCATTCATTTTGTGCTGCTAAAGGCGCACATTCTGCTTGGTGTGTGCGCGTGATTTCTATTAAAATACGTATTTGCTCGTTTATTTTTATTTTTTCGTTTTATTTTTTTTTAATCCACAACCACTTCACACACCCTCAGCTGCCCATGAGTTACAAAGCTTTGTGAACAGCACGCATAAAGCTGGTCACGCAGGCAACCATAAAGCGCACTGATGAAATCCAAACTGTCTAAATTTACAATTAATGCAAACTGACTGACGACTTTAATCAAAACCTAGAAAATGCACGTGCAGATTTAAACTAAAATACAAATATTTCCAGCCTTTTCTCTCTGATTTACAGCTTTTAACACAAAACTGTGCAGTCCAAGCAGCATCTCATGTTAGTTTCTATTTTTAACAATATTCTGATTGTTCTCCTGTACAAGTCAGTCCAGTTATAGATGCCTATGTGTCTGACAGAAATGTTCAGAGCAGTCATCAGTCATGCTGCCAGGCTGTGAGTGTTTTACTCGGGTCAAATCGTTCCCAGGGGTCACTGAGCGCAGGATTTACGCAGCTTATCAGCTGCCCAATAGACATAATAATAATAATAATAATAATAATAATGATGCAAAGTTATGATGATAATTAGGCTCAATAGCATTTATCTAAATAATTGTTTATGAAGCAGGTGATTGCTAAGTGTCGATTTAAGTCACTGTTTCCTTGGAGAGAGAAATGAAACGGGTGAATAATTAACTGTTTAATTTGTCCTGGATAAAATGAAGGTTCCACATAGTTTTAGGTGCAAAAAAAAAAAAAACCTTTTAGCTACTAATCAACAGCTAAAATCAAGCCGCTGACCCGTGCGAGTTATTGCTTTAATTGTAAGAGCTGGGGAAAAAACAAACAAACAAACAAACAAAAAAAAAAAGTGTAATAATTAGTGAGGCTGCAGTAAACTCGAAGCACGTGCTCGTGAAGCCTTTACACACACGGTCAGACTGCACGTCGCCTCAGCTCTCAAACATTAATAACGTTAATTTATTTAATTTATTTGTTTTGCTCAAAACAAACTTCCTCCACCGCGCGCTCGAACATGACTGTTGTTTTTTTTTGTTTGTTTTCCTGTTTGTAACTACATGTTTTTTTTCTGATCCAAACATCAAGAGTGATCAGTCCGACCCACACTCAGATATGAAATTATGAATTAAACAATTTGCAAAACCTCAAGTCTTTTATTGATCCTCATGAACCATACAGGTAAAATAATTTTAAAATTATATTGTCTCCATTGTTAATTGTTCTTTTGTATAAAAAAAAAATATTGATGAGATTAATTAGATTTAAAACAGTTAAACAATCATAGCTGTGCAGTTTCCCAAATGTGACCATCTATATTATTCACTACAATAACCACTTTCATAAAAACAGTCAAGTTTCAAGAAAACCTCCGAAAAGAACAATTCTAAATTTATATTTATATATATATATAAAACCTCCGAAAAGAACAATTATATATATATATATATATATATATATATATATATATATATATATATAATATTAGAAATAAAAGCCAGCCCATTAAGTTTTTTGTCTCTTTGCTCTAATATCCCAGTGCTATAATCTAAAGCATGTCCCAGGCCTCACCTTGTCAGTGTCTTTTCTCTGATTAAAAGTAAAATGTGAAGAATGTGTCTGGAGTTCTGTGGTCATCGTGTCCTTTCAGGCTGCATATCTCTCACTTTCATATGATTCACCTTCAAACCTCTTGCCAAATGACTCTTTCTGCTGAAGGCCTGAATACTTATTAATGTAAAAATCAAAAATGTAGTTAGGCACTTTTTGCATGTCCATCCTTTTTATTTAAACCTGTTTTTTCCTTGGAGTGCGGGTGGGAGCTGTGCTTATCTCCAGTGGGCACTGTGCGAGAGGCAGAGTATACACTTGTTCATCCCAGGACATGTAGAGACATAATGTCAAATTTTTAGTGATGTTTTGTACAAAATAAACTGAGCAATGACTAAAGAACAATAATCCAAACATGATTTCTCTGTTTCTTCCCAGATCTGAGGCAGGATGAACCTGAGGCTCAGCGGTGTCTGTCAGCCAGTCTGCTGGCCGTTTGGCAGCTTGTTGGACTCCAGAAACTGTGTCTTTGCCCTGACGCTCGTCACACTCCTCATGCAGGTGGTGGTGGAGGCCAACTCGTGGTGGTATGCCCTCATTTGTCTCTCTGTGCAAATATGTTTAAATGTGGTGACTGGGTGCTTTTTATTGTGCTTTTGTCTAATGGAAGAGGAAACGTTTGCATCTTTTTAACTTGCGTTTAGAAGCAGGACAAGATTTCTCTGAAACATGATTTTCCTCCCTGTTTTTTGACAAACCAAAATGATGCATTTTAAAGAAAACAAAACGTGGTTTCTAAGCAGACATTTAAAAATAAACTGTTTTTTTTATTTTTTATTATTTTTCCATGATATTACGTTTCTGCACCGAACACCACAAGATAAAAACTTATGGAAAAGTTTATACATAAAAACGCACAGAGAAAATAAGAACGTAATGGGCTCAGCTCATTTAGACTCTTATACTCTTCTTTAAAGACTCAAACATGGAGTCCAGTTACAAACCCTGCAGAAGACTCGTACATTAGTAAAGATCTTTCGGAAAGTTCACTCTGGAGCTCGGACTGTGTGTCTTTCAGTTTCCTTTTCCAGAGGACACACAGGTGTGAATGATTTAGTGCTGGATGTTGACAGAGCATCAGTCTTCATGTGTGTGTGAGTGCAAAGACATTGTGTACGTAGATTTTTTTCCTCTCTTGCTATGTGCCTCTGTGTGTGTGTATTCATTCAGTGTCCCCTGGCTGCTGAGTTTCCTCAGTCGATCAGGTTACACTGGGGGCTAATTGTGTCTCTCTGGGGGCTCAGAGATGGGCTGCTCTAATTGTCCTGTGGCCTGGAACCAGATGCTCATACTGGGTTTCTTTTCTTTCTTTCGTTCTGTATAGCTTTGCTTGTTCTGCTTATGCTCATTTCAAGTCCACTTTTCATATAACTTATTTTCTCTGAGCAGAAAACTTACTTCAATTGGACTATGCCGTTCAGAACAAGTCCAAACGTTAAACACACCAATAAGACATTAGAGAACTCGGAAGGGTTTGTGAATTGTTTTGGAAGAAGAAAACTTTTTTTTTCTTCCAAACGTTAAACCGTGCATACTTAATTCTGATGTTACACCTTTGGCATTTGGTAAAATTAATTGTTTTTTTGCCCCCTGACCTCTAAAGGATTTATATTGAATAGCTTTTGAACTCTTCATAGGCTTACATTATATAACCATGAAATAAATTGGGTATTTTTTTCTTATGTTTGTATTTTAGTCCACGTACATTTGTTCATTTTTCCTTATTTTTTTATTATTCCATTTCCTCATTGTTTATATTTGAATAATTGCAGGCTATTTTTCAGAGTTGTTTTTTTTTTTTTTTTTTAGCTCACTGTTGTTGCAGGGATTTACCTCACTTAAAGTGCACGTCATTATAAACACAGCTTTTCCAAAACCAATCAAGTGAAATCAACTAGAGATCATGACCTTGGCCTGCAAAGCTTTCGTACATGGTTTTCAGTGGCACATGAGTGAAAACACTGCATTCTGTGTCTCCCCTCTCTCTTTCCAGGTCTTTGGCCATGAACCCTATACTGATCCCAGAGGCCTACATCATCGGCGCCCAGCCTCTGTGCAGCCAGCTGCCGGGCCTGTCTGCAGGCCAGAAGAAGCTGTGCCAGCTCTACCAGGACCACATGCAGTACATCGGCGAAGGTGCCAAGATGGGGATCAGAGAGTGCCAGTACCAGTTCAGACATCGACGCTGGAACTGCAGCACCGTGGACAACTCCTCTGTTTTTGGACGCGTCATGCAGATAGGTAAGAAAGAAAACTTTGGCATTGATTCCTGGAAGCACAGACACAACGGCAAAGGTGACAAGGTTACAAATGCAAGTCTTTACAAGCAGATTTGCCTTCTAAATATAATGTGTATGTTATATATGCACACAGAGATGTACACTCTGAACAACTGTCTGCTTATATTTAACATAATAACTGCAGTGTATGCTCCAATATCTCAGTTTGTCACAGTGTGTGTCTGCACCTGTGGATTCGGAGTGGCTCAGATGTCTTTAGTAAAGTTTATAGTCTTTTGCTTAAACTGAATCACATTTCTGTTGATTAGTTTCCATCAGTGTTTGTCACCACCCTCCGGACAATAAGACTTCTACTTGCTGGTCCTCTTGACTGAAAGTCTGTTTTACTTTTTTATAATTCATGTGATTAAAGCAGAATTGCATCAGTTCCGTCTGCTTGCTGGTGAAATGTGACTGGATCACATTTTGTCTTTGATTCCTGTTGGTGGTTGTTTTCGGGATTTATCATACGTTTCCCAAGTTAATCTTATTATTCTGTGTGAGCAGCATGTTTATAAAAATCAATAAAAAAAGAAGTTTTCTTAACCAATCAGGTAATTTGTGTCCTATCTCTGAGACGTAACCCAATGACACATATATGTTAATCAAAAGTAACTCAGACTAAGAGCCTATAATTTAAGTCACCTAACAAAATCTGTCTTTCAGAAAATTATATTCCTCTTATTCTTAACCAGCTATTTTCCCAATGACTAGGTTTTTATTTTTTATTTTTTTGCGGGGGATGGGGGGTGGCAACCACACTGAGGTTTGTGGATCCTAATGATGCTGGATGAAATGTAACATAGTTTAACACGATCAACAATACTCAGTCAGTTTTCCTTGTTATTCCACGTTTTGCAAAACTCTCGTCATATTCATTTAAATTCAGTTCAGTTTGTTTATATAGCGCCGAGTCACAACAGAAGTCATCTCAGGACAATGAACAGAAACATTCATACATGTGTATATATATATAAAAAGTAATTTAATAACATTATTTATTTTTGAGGAGCAGACTACTTTGAGTTTAACTTCATCGCAAAACTCTCATCTTGAGCACGAAGGCGACAGTGGAAAGGAAAACCTCCCTCATGAGGAAGAAACCTTTAGCAGAACCAGACTCAGGACAAGCGATCATCTGCTTCAACTGGCTGGGTTTGAGAGGAACAGATACACAATGGCAGGTGAAGAACCACATTTTAAGATAGAAATTAAAATTAAAACTATTCAATTTTAACAATTCATTTAAGGAAATGAGGTCATTTTGTCCTCCAGTAGTCTTAAGCTTATGGCAGCATAAGAAGCCAGCCCTAACCATAGGATTTATCCAAAAGTAAAGTCTTAAGCCCAGTCTTAAAACTGGACAATGTGTCAGCCTTATGGACAGAAACTGGAAGTTGGTTCCACAAGAGAGGAGCCTGATAACTGGAAGAACTTCCTCCCATTCTGCTTTTGAAAACTCTAGGAACTGCGAGTAAGCCTGCAGTCTGAGAGTGAAGTGCTCTGTTAGGAAAATATGGAACAATAAGATCTGTAATATAAGATGAAGCTAGGTTGTTGAGGGCTTTGTAGGTTTGTATCGAAGGACAGACTAACCCTAACCCTAACCCCCCTCTCCCCACACACATCCTACTCCTTGCTGCACAAAATACACCAAACGCGTGATGGAAGGAAAAAAGTTCTTAACATGTTTTAGAATTTATTCCGTATAAAACTTGAATTATGAATGGCAGTAAGAAAGAGAGTAACACTGGCAGAGATTTTTTTTTTATTTTGTACATGTATAATATATTTATTTTACCAATGAATGAAAGCACTTTAATTTTCTACTGTGATGGCTGAACATTAGTATACAGTATGTAACGGTATAAAACAAAATGGAATTTATCAAAAAGAAATTCAACTTTTCTTCTGTGATAAATACCAAATGACCAGTCAACTTTTTCTGTCTATTTTCTGTAAGTATCAGCAGAGTAAAAATACTCTGTAGCAAATCAGTAACGTGCATAAAATTATAGATGTTATTACTTTTAATCAACAAATTATATGCTTATAAACTCACATGAACAGTTAGCCCTGCTGTAACTGAACTGCCATACCAAAACTCCTAGATCATCTTTGCCCACAGAACCTACTTCTATCAGCTGAAAATCTGTGTGAACAACAACAAAGGTTCAAGCATGTCATCTGGATCAGTTTCTTGTGTGGCCCACAGAAAATATGAGCAGAGATAAAGTGCTGGAAGAGAAGTTGATGTTGTGGACACCAAAATGTATAATTACACTCATTAGGACTGGTTGAGAAAATCTGAAAAGCAGAGCAGAAAAATATATTTTTTTGTGGATGGATGGATGAATACAACAGATATTATACAACGTTCTGGGTGACTGCTTGTCTGTGGTCCTCAGAAACCTTTTGACCAGCCAGTTGTCTTTTCTTCACTTCTCCAGTAATCTTGTTTCAATCCGCATTAAGCCAAAGAAACATGCCCACTGCTACTCTTTGTGAAAGCTTAACAACTTTAAATGAGAACTTTTGGAGTGGTGGCTTTTTTTTTTTTTTTTTTTTTTTTTTTTTTGGTGTTTCTGCTCAAATGTGTAGGACATCAGAGGTGACCACAGTGGAAGATTAGTTTTTGTCCACAATTCAAATATTAAGGCAACATCCTCAAATGGGATTTTTTTCTTCTTCAATAATTAATCCTCTATTTCTTTTTTCTGATAACTTGTGCTCTTGCCAGTTTATCTGGATATTTTTTTACTTTTCCAAAGGAGTTCTTCATTCATCTCTTTCTTATCAATGCTTTCTTTTTTTTTTATTTTACGTGTGAAAGTCACATTTTCCATTTTGCTTTCTTTTTTAAAACCTTTTCTTGTCCCGTCTCTAATTTTATTTGCTCATCTGTTACTGTCATTACAGCAC